TGTTGACGACTGAATATTATGAAAAACTATACTCAAACAAATATGAAAACCTAGAAGAAATGGACAAATACTTTAAAACTTACAACATACCTAAACTGACACAGACCAAAGTAAAACACCGGAACAGACCCATTACAAAAGAAGAAATTGAACAGGTATTAAATCAATTTCTAAAAAAAAAAAGGGGGGGGCCCTGGACCAAATGGTTTTAGCAGTGAATTTTATCAAACATTCCGAGAACTGTCACCAATTCTACATAAAGTATTTCAGAAAATGTTGTTGTTGTTGATTGCCTTGAAGTCGAGCATGACTCATAGCAAACCTATGAACAAAAGGTCTGAAGCCCCTCTACAACTATCAACATTTATCAAAGTTCAGAGAGTTTCCAGAGGCATGTTGTTTAGCAAGTGGATGCCACTCCTGCTTCCAAACCTGTCATTGTATGTTCTTCCAGACCCATTCTATGATTGTGGAGCCATGCAAACTATCATGATGCTGTCAATCATCCCAATGGTGAGAATCTTTGTTTTCTTGATGTTGAGCTTCAATGTATATCGAAGGCTGCAGTCCTTGGCCTTCTACAGTAAGCACTTCAGGTCCTCCACAGTTTAGCAAGCAAGGTTGTGTCATCTGTATAATGCAGGTTGTTGATGAGTCTTCCTCCAATCCTGGTGCCACATTCCTCCTAATAGAGCCCAGTCCCTGGGATGATTTGTTCTGCATATAGATTGAAAAGGTATGGCGATAGGACACATCCCTGGTGTATACCCTAATAGATGATGTAAAGGGCACCACCAAAATAGAAAACTATAGACTAATATATCTAATGAACATAGGTGGAAATATCTTCAATAAAATCCTGGCCAATAGAATTGAACATTACATTAAGAAAATAATTCATCATGACCAAGTGGAATTCATAACAGATATACAAGGATAGTTTAACATAAGGAAAGCAATTTAATGTAATTCATCACCTTAACAAAGCAAAGAATAAGAACCACTTGATCCTATCAATTGTGGCAAGAAAGGCTTTTGACAAAAGCAAACACCCTTTCCTGATTAAAACACTAATAAAATAGGAATAGAGGTCAATTTCATCAACATAGTGAAAAGTATATACACAAAACCAAGAGCCAACATTGTTCTAAATGGAGAGAGATTAAAGACAGGAACTAGGCAAGGATGCCTATTATTACCTCTCCTATTCAAATATTGTATTGGAAGTCTTAGTAAGAGCAATAAGACAAGGGATGGAAATAAGAGGTATCCAAATTGGCAATAAGGAGGCAACATTATCGCTATATGTTAATGTTATAAGAGTATGCTTAGAAAATCCTACAGACTTAGTGAAAAAAGTACTGGACATAGTCAACCAATTCAGCAAAGTAACAGGATGCAAGATCATCATATAAAAATCAGTTTCATTTCTCTACAGTGACAGAATACAGAAATGAAGCTAAGAAAACAATACCCATCACAGTAGCTAATCACAGCATTAAATACTTGCAAACAAATCTAACTAGAGACACAAAAGACCTATACAAAGAAAATTACAAAACATTACTACAAGAAACAAAAAGAGAGATGGATAAATGGAAAACTATACCATGCTCATGGAGAGGAAGACTCAATGTTGTAAAAATGACAGTTCACCAAAGGCAATCTACAAGTTCAATTCCATCCCAATACAGATACCAATTCAATTCTTCAACGAGATGGAAAAGGCAATTTCCAATTTTATCTGGAATGCAAAGAGACTCAAATAAGTAAAGCACTCTTGAAAAATAGAAACAAGGTAGGAGGCATCTCACTCCCTGATTTCAAATCCTACTAAACTGCCATGGTGGTCAACACAGCGTGGTACTGATACAATGACAGACATGTAGATCACACTCCCTAATCTCAAATCCTACTACACAGTTATAGTGGCCAAGACAGCATGGTACTGGTACAGAAAAAGGCACATAGATCAATGGAATAGAATTGACAACCCATAAATCAGCTCTTCTAGTGATTGTCAACTGATTTTTGACAAGGAGACAAAATCAGTAAGGTGGTGAAATAATAGCCTTTTTAACAAATGGTGTTGGCAACAGTGGAAAACCATCTGTAGGAAACTTAAGCAAGACCAACACCTCACACCATACACAAAAACCAACTCAAAGTGGATCAGGGAGCTAGGAATAAAGCCAAAGACTATAAAATTAATCAGAGAAAAGCTTGGAAGATATCTAGCACCCCTAAACCACAGCATGTACAGTCTTCCATGCATAATGAAAAACCTGCAACCAGGAGAGAACCAAATAGATGTATGAGACCTTCTAAGAATCAAATCCCTATGCACATCAAAAAAACTTCTCTAACAAGGTGAAAAGGAAAGCCATAGAATGAAAAAAAGTATTTGTCAATGACATATCTGCTAAGGACATATCTAAAGTTTATAGAATGCTCCAGTACCTTGAAAATAAAAGAGCCCAGTCACAAAATGGGCACAGGATATGAATAGACACGTCACCAAAGAAGACATTCAGATGACAAACAAACACATGAAGAAATGTTCAAAATCATAGAGGTGGAATAAAAACAACTATGAGATATCATCTCACCCCAATGTCAACAGCAAAGTTCAACAGAACAGCAAACAATAAATGCTGGTGAGTTTGTGGAGAGATTGGAACCCTTATTCACTGTTGGTGGGAGTGTAAAATGGTGCAACCTCTGTCAGAGGTGATCTGGCGCTTTCTCAAAAAGTTGGAAATAGAAATACCATTTGACCCAGCAATTCCACTCCTGAGAATATACCCTAAAGTACCAGAGACACCACCCAAACAGATGTATGCACACCCATGCTTATTGCTGCGTTATTCGTAATCACAAAGAGATAGAATCAATCCAAGTGCCCATCAACAAACAAATGGGTAGAAAAACTATGGTATATCCACACAATGGAATACAATGCAACACTGAGAAACAATGAACTTGTAAAATATTACACAACATGAGTGACCCTGGAAGACACATGCTGAGTAAAATATCTCAGTCACAAAAGGACAAAAACTTCATAAACACCATTGTTATAAAGCAGGACTGACATGGGAGTTGGGGGAAACTAGGAAAAGAGTTGATAGATAATGAACACTGCATTGAAACAGATGAAGCAAAAAACCTTTTAAAAAGAATATGTTGTTAAGTGCCATCAAGTCATAGATGACCTGTAACAACTCTATGAACCAAATTCTTGAACATGAAACTTTCATCTTTTCTCCAAGTTCATAGAGTTTCAGGATGCAAGCTTTTTTTTTGGAAATGGGTACAACTCCTGCTTCCAAGCCTATTTTATTTGGGAACTTGACAAAAAACAAGGCCTGAGGGCCCAAATGCCTTTTTAAATATGAAGCCAAATCCAATCAGTTCACACCCAGTTGCGAGCAACAGCCACACCCGTCTCAACCCCAATCCAGAAAGCACATCTTTGCAGAATCCAGGCATTCTACTCATCTTCCCAGCCTGGCAATAGTCCCAGACTTGTGGTCAAATGCTTTTTTAAATATGAGGCCAAATATAATCAGCTCACCCCCAGTTGTGAGCAACAGCCACACCAGGCCATAGTCTTAGCAGTTACTTGCTATGCATAAGAAAGTTGGACTATGACTAGGGATAATAGGGGAATTGATGCCTTTGAGCTGTGGTGCTGGAAAAGAATATTGAATATGGCATGAACTGCTAGGAGAACAAACAAGTTTGTCCTAGAGAGGGTGAAACCAGGCTGCTTCTTGGAGCCAAGGATTCTGAAGCTTCATCTGACATGCTTAGGCATGTTGCAGAGAGGGACCAGTCCTTGGAGAAGGACATAATGCTTGGAAAGGTGGAGGGACAGTGCAAAGAAGACCCTCAATGAGATGGATTAATTCAATGACTGGGTTAATGAGGGTAGATGTGTCAGAGGCAATAAGGTTGGCACAGGATAGAGCAGGTTCCAGAGCTTGTGTACATAGGGTTGCTATGAGTCACAAGAGCACATAACAACAACAAAATTATTTCCCCTTCCTTCAACTTAATAACAACAACAACATGGCCTGGATTGGGCACACCTTGGTCTCCAGACTGACATCATCGCTCTTCACTGCTCTGAAGAGGTCCCTGACAGCAGACTTTCCCAATGCAATTCGTCTTTTGATTTCCTGGCTGCTGGTACCAAGAATGATGATTGTGGACCCAAGCAAACTGAAACTGTTAACAATCTCTGTCCCTTCACCATCTATCATGATGCTTTCCATTGGCCAAGTGGTGAGAATATTTGTTTTCTTGATGTTGAGCTCCATATTGAAGGCTACAGTCCTTTATGTTCTGCAGCTAACACTTCAGGTCTTCCTCAGTTTCAGCAAGAAAGGTGGTGTCATCTGCATAACAAAGATTCTTGATGAGTCTTCCTCCAATCCTAATACCACACTCATCCTCATAGAGCCCAGCCTCCCAGATGATCTGTTCTGCATATAGATTGAAAAGGTATGGAGATAGGACACATCCCTGGGGTACATCCTTCCAGATTCTGAACCACGTAGGGTTTCCTTGCTCTGTTCTGATGACTGCGTCCTGGTCCAAGTATAGGTTTCTCATAAGCACAACCAAGTGTTCTGGGATTTCCATTCTTCTCAGAGTTAGCCACAGTTTGTTGTGATCCACACAGTCAAATGCCTTTGCATAGTCAATGAAACACTTTCCTCTGGTACTATCTGCTTTCAGCCAAGTTCCACCTAACATTAGCTATGAGCACCGAGAAGCCGAAGCAAAGGGAAGAAATCAAGAAGTTAAGGAGCTGAATAGAAGATTTCAAAGGGCAGCTCAGGAAGACAAGGCAAAATATAATAATGAAATGTGCAAGGAGCTGGACTCAGAAATTCAAAAGGGCTGACATTGCCCAGCATTTCTTAAGCTGAAGGAATGAAAGAACAAATTCAAGCCATGAATTGCAGTGGATGCTATGGGCAAAACATTGAATGATTCAGCAAACTAAGCCCCTCACCCTGGAGCACACCATCAACCTATACCCTCTTACCAATTACACTTTTGGCACAAAAGAGCCCCTTTATGAAAAGGATAGCTCTGTTGCAGCCAGATTTCAACGCCTGAGGGAAGAATTTGATAAAATTGGAATGAGGAGAACTGTAGAAGGAGTTCTGATTGTACATGAACACCGCCTACCTCATGTGTTACTGCTTCAGGGAACAACCTTCTTCAAATTACCTGGTGGTGAACTTAATCCAGGAGAAGATGAAGTTGAACGACTGAAACACTTAATGACAGAGATACTAGGTCGTCAGGATGGAGTCCTGCAAGACTGGGTCATCGATGACTGCATCGGTAACTGGTGGAGACCAAATTTTGAACCACCTCAGTACCCATATATTCCTGCACATATCACAAAACCTAAGGAACATAAGAAGTTGTTTCTGGTTCAGCTTCAAGAGAAAGCCTTGTTTGCTGTTCCTAAAAATTACAAGCTTGTAGCTGCACCATTGTACCAAAAAGAATTGGCCAACACAGAAGAATTTAAAGAAACAACATATGATTAAGAGGCAATGATGATGAAGGAGGAAGTTCAGGCTGCTCTGAAGGACTCAACAAGAAATAAAGCCCCAGGAATTGATGGAATAGCAATTGACGTATTTCAACAAATATATGCTGTCCTGGATGTGCTCACCTAGTTATGCCAAGAAATCTGGAGGACAGCTACTTGGCAAACTGACTGAGAGAGAACTATATTTATTCCCATTCCAAAAAAAGGTGATCCAACAGAGTATGGAAATTACCGAACAATATCCCTAATATCACACACTAGCAAAATTCTACTAATGATTACTCAGAAACGACTGGACAGAGAACTACAAGAAATACAAGCTGGGTTTAGAAGATGGTGGCACTAGAGACATTATTGCCAATGTCAGATGGATCTTGGCAGAAAGTAGAGAGTACCAGAAGAACGTCTATTTGTGTTTCATTGACTATGCAAAGGCATTTTACTGTGTGGGTCAAAACATATTGGGGCTAACCTTGAGGAAAATGGAAATCTCAGAACATTTAATCGTGCTTATGCGAAATCTATACTTGGACCAGGAAGCAGCCCTCAGAACAATGCAAGGAAACACTGCATGGTTCATATTAGGAAAGGAGTGGGTCAGGAATGCATCCTGTCCCATACATTTTCAATCTGTATGCGGAATAGATCATTTGGGAAGCAAGGTTTTATGAGGAGGAATGTGGCATCAAGTTTGGAGGAAGACTCATCAACAACCTACGATATGCGAATGTCCCAGCTTTGCTTGTTGAAACTGAAGAAGACCTGAAGCCTTTGCTACAGAAGTTCAGGGACTGTAGTCTTCAATATGAATTGAAGCTCAACATCAAGAAAACAAAGATTCTCACCACTAGGCCAATTGGTAGCACCATGATAGATGGAGAAGATATTGAGGTTGTTAATAATCACAGCTTGCTCGGCTCCACAATTAATACTCTTAACACTAGCAGTCCAGAAATCAAAAGACGAATTGCATTGGGAAAATCTGCTGTCAGGGTGCTCCAGAGTGCTGAAAAGCAATGATGTTAGTTTAGAGACTAAGGTGCATCTAATTGAGGCCATGGCCTTCACAATTACTTGCTATGCTTCAGAGAGCTGGACAATGACTAATGATGACAGAAGAAGAATCGATGCCTTCGAGTTGTAGTGCTGGAGAAGAGTCTTGAACATACCATGGACTACCAAAAGGAAAACAAATAGGTCTGCCTTGGAGAGGGTAAAACCAAGTTTCTCTTTGAAGGCTAGGATTTTTTTTTTG